TGTTCAAACCTAAGACCGTCAGTATTCTTAATTCTTCCAATAATTCACCTGTACCATGCCTAGATGATTATAATTATTGTATTTAACTGCTCATAATTTCAAAGATGTTCCTCGCTTCATTGAGAAAAAGCATTCTTTCCTTTTTAAGCTTTTACCAAGAACATGTACGGGATTGCCAATATATGTACTAAGCACGGGACTGCAAGAGGGTATGGGTGACAGAAAGGTTACAGCAGTTTCCCAAAGTATTGTCCCAGAAGTTCCTGCATCGATCTCCATCTGTAATGTCTGTCCTTCAATGTCAAGCTCCAGGGTCTATGGCGCCGGCCGCGTATCAGATCCAGTATTCAATTATATAGTAACTAACTCAGGCTCGCTAACCTTCGACATGCTCACACTTTTGACGGGTTATTGTCCCCGATCAGCTCCGCCTGCAAGCTCTTTGACCGATCCGCACCCTCGCTCCAGGTGGCCCACCTTCCCGCGGTTCCGACGTATGACCCCTTGAAGTGCACAGCCAGATGGACAAGTGTGCCGTTGACCACAACGTCAGCACACAAAAGAATTGAGGCTAGGAGATGACCGCCTTATTTTTGGATTAATGTTCATCGGTAGCAATTCTTCTGTTGAGTTTTTCAGTGTGAAAGTTGCCGGTTGTTAAGCAAGGTGTTCCATCTGCATGGCACTAGACCTCACTGGCGCCCACGGCAGTGAACACTCATATTGTGCAAGGAGCTCTTCTCGGGTGTTCTGGTCTAAGATCCCCGAGAACAGTAACTGAAGTAGCATGGTTTCCATAAACTTCACTGGAGCGATTTCATGGTATTTACTGTCAGGTACCGCTGGCAGCACGGTAGCAATGAACTCTTTTACACCTTCGCCTGATTACTGTGAGAGCTTGGAGAAGTAACATCGAGCCTTACCAACATTTTGACGAAAACCCTAAAGAGCACCGGATGTGCCAGAGCCCTGGCGATGGTAAACCGATTAAATAAATAAAATAACTAAACGTATATTATTGGTGTTGCTATGGTCAGGTTTACCTGTGTCGTCAGGTGACACCTCTCGCTCTTAGTAGTACCTAGCTCGGCACTTAGCCAGAAAGAAGGCGGTGCGCGGACGGGAACCGCCTACAAAAAACGTGACCAGGCACAAGTTACGAGAGGCACATATAGGTTTTGGTGTATGCGTACTTGCATGAGTGAAGGGCCAAGCAGAGTGAGCGCCTAGTAAGCGGTCGTTAAGATACACGTACTAAGCAAGAATCCATTGGTTTCAGGCGTTTAGAGCTGAAATAAAGAGGTTGCCACTGCTTGCCAACGTGTGGTTGATTAACCGCTCCAACCGTAACGGCCGATGCGACAATTGTCAGAGAAAAGGGAGCAGGCGGTTTGGCGTGTGTGAGGGGAGCTATGTTGAAGATGGCATCCTCGAGCTCAGTTGAATCCGTATGTGTCGAGTTTGGAGATGTACACTTACGTTCGTTTCGTCTGAGGAGGTCAGTCAGAAGCTGCATGAGTTCAGCGCAGCGGAGGCTGAGCCGTCGGTAGTGGTTGCCTGGGTCATAAACGTGACATGTGTATAAAGGAAGCCGTGGATGGGAAGTCTTTGACGGAGTAGACCTTCCCGAAGGACGGCAATTCCAGGTGAGGAGAATAGGTGGTCTAAGTATTCTGCCGAGGACGTGCCTAGTTCCCACTTAATGGGTTTGACGGTGACGCCGTTTTGGGTCAACCGCTGGAAGAGGGACTTTAGATGAGATAGATACGCTTTGTCGGACGAACGTCGTTAGGGCAAAGATTGGCGAAGTCTAGGCTACAGGTAACGTCGTGGATAAAGGCGCTGACATATTTGTGCGGCATTGTACCATCTGAAAGACATTTTCAAAAATACGAACAAGCCGAAGGAGGTAAGGACGGCTGTTTTACGTGTGGCTTTCCTCAGCAGGTAGTTGGTGATAGCCTCGAACACGATCGATCTTGCTGAAAACTCTCTTTGAGGCATGCTGTGTGGTCCTGCTTATGTTGGATGGTGTATCTGTCGGGAACCTTACGCTTGCGCAGGACTCGGTAGGCACCGCAAGCTCACCAGTCACTAACTTTCTTCGGGATCCTCTGAAGTGGAGATGACCATGGGCTATCCGAAGGGCGGATTATTACAATTTCGAGCATGCGCTCATACTCCGCTCTAGGTTACTTCGGTTTCTCTGGCGATAGTCAGGGCGGGCGTGATGAGATGAGTGGGTCGTTGGTGCGGATAGGGTGCTTGACCTGCGATGCTACGGGGACCGCTTCATTCATTGAACGAGCTTGGAGCAGTCACACGGTTGTTGGACATGGCCCGAGGAAGTCTGGGGAAACGCACACTGGAGTGATAGCTACACTGCCGACGCGGAAGGTCCTTAATGAGTTGCTTATATGCTGTAGTTTCAAATCGATCAAAAGGTTCATAGTCCTGATATCTTTGCCGCTGATAGCAAAAAGGCCGGCAGTAGTAGGAATATCCAGCTGTTTTACGTAGTCCCAAGTAGATGGATAAAGAGCGATGACCATAAGTAAAGATTAATGTGCCGATGGTCGGTCGAGGACTGCAAGTGGCTGGCTGCGTCTCTTCCTCAGGTGCAGGAGGAGCCACGCTAACTGCATCTCGTGTGTCGACCAGGAAAGCAGTTCTAGCTACACAGTCCTTAACATAATGGAAGCGACTGCCGTCTGGTGGGCCACTGATGTTAGCCGCCTTTATATCATGGCCCGTGCGGTTCCCTGTTGAGTCGCACTGAAGGTGAAGGGCGTGGCATAACGCCTGGCTTGTGCACCAAATCGGCGGTGGTAGTAACATGACTGAATAGCGCCTGCATATTCGTTACGATTAGGCGCGTTGCTACGTGAGCAGCGTCCGTTGTCGTTAGACCTGTTGTTAAAGTCACGGCGCAAAGCAGGTCGTCCCACTAAAATAGTCGTACATTCCTGTGAAGTATGGGTAGGCTGGGTAGAGTTTGATCAACAAGCAAGGGGAATATTATTATGAGTACAAGATAACTATGGCAAAGGGGAATTGACGAAACTGAGCGGAGGGCGAAAACCATTAAATACTACGTCAGGTATTTAAGTGGCGCCACCAGGTGAGTTAAGTTGATTCTCAGTTGGAATACCTTGGGCTATTTCTGGTAGCCCCTGTAACCAGTGTTAGCGCCACCGTGACTTGCCATGACGATGTATCGCGCATTAGGCGCAGTACGCTCAGTAGTGTTAAGGGCTTCTTGTCACCCAATTGTAGACATTGGAATAGCTGCTGTGTTGGGGCATGTTCGGTTGGTGGGATTCAGCTGATGACAACGTGCTTGAGGTTATCGTAACTTTGCGCAGAAACAGGCTGCATTAAAAGGTCCCTGAGTTACAGAGTTTCGCTGCTGGGTAAGCGAGCTAGTAACCGGCTACACTTGGTTGAATCAACGGTGCTCCTATAGCGGGTGAACTCAGGCTCTATCAACGTAAATTAACACTGAAACTTACTGCAACCAAAAGTTGTAACTGTATAAGAGAACGCCTTGCAAGCCGGTTCAGTAAGCTTAACGCCCGGATCAGATATAATGCATGGATGCAACAGGATGAAAAACGAAAAGAAACAAAAGCGACGAGAGTTGGACTAACCAGTGTGTGGGAACTAAGATGGCTGCGATAGAGTTCGCAACCGGGGTCACCAACTGTAGAGCCAAACTCAGTCATCGGTAGCGCCACTTACCAGTAAGACCAAATAGGGATACCGGGTTTACAGAAGTGAAAGTTTGCCGAACCCAACTTGTATTGTAAGAACTACAAAGAACTGGAAACCAAGCAGCGAAGGAGGAAATGTTTAACAGCATGACTCACAGGGAAATCAAAAGTAAACGACGACTGACTTTTCTAAAACAAATGGGCAGTCAGCATTGGCAAAAGTACAAAATCCATTGTCGTGAAATAAGGTAAGCGTAAATGTTGTGCGTTTACTAAAGTATTGCCCTACTGTCGGGACAGAAGGGACTTTCACTTACAACCCAAGGCCGTTGAAATCATCGAATAACTAAAGCTGAAAGTAGCTGAAAATATCCGATTGCACCCCTGGAATACGCATTATACCAAGCTCTTCACTGGCAAGACCACTAAGAATCCAGAACAGACAGTGACCATCAAACTTAATTAACCGTCGGTTTTATAACTATATAAGTGTTAAACACCTGTCAACTCTTAAGGTAATTACTGCCTCAACCATAAGCATATCGTGATTATTCTGTTCAAAAGTCCCACCTTGACTAGAACTCGAACTCATCCATCAGCTAGCTTGACACTGGGGCACATACAAAGAAAGTCGTCATTTGTCTAGAGGGGTATTTTGTATGCTACGTGCAGTTGTTTCATTGTACCAAACAGAAATCTTAACGCAACACGCTGACTTTGTTCGTTTTCACCACGACGGCGTCTATCCGCTATTCATCATTTTGAAAAACTCTGCAGTCTCCCGCGGGATAGGCTAATTTCTGTGTTGGCGGGAAAGGGTTTCGCTTCCATTGTCCTTGGTAACATCCAAGGTAGTTTGAGTGCCTTCAGAGTATATTCTTAGTTTCGGAGGCAATAAGGTGTGGAAAATAAAAGGGAAGGTTATATGGATTTGCTTCGTGCAAACAGTTATGATAAATTAAAGTGATGACTAGTTGTAAATGAGGTTCACCGCATAATCGAAAGCAGACAAATGGTAAATACAAGGGAAATGTGAAAGGCTGTTTTATGGAGCAAATAAGCGTTAATGCCATTGTTTCATGTATGTAAAGATTGTGCTTGCAGCAAATTATTTGCTTGAATAAGGGGTAAACATATCTCTTGTCTGATTATTGTATTTTTTGAAATCGCGATGAATGAAAGCGTAAGCTACCAATAAATAATCATATTAACTACTGTCTTTTGTACATAGTTAAGCACAAAGCGACCTATGCATATCTCTTTAAAAGCCAGTTATGAAAGCATCACCATTTAACCTGTTGTACCGGAAAACAAATTCCCTCCAGGCCAATTTTTCATGTCAAAAATAAGCCACTCCCGTTTCCCGCGTAAGGATGAAGCGCGTACTGATCCCATTGGAAACACGAATAATTCACAACTTCGTCATATAATCGGGTCACTTGCGGGATATGTATTTTCTGTCAATAAAGAAGCCGTGGACGATTGCAACCTTAGTTATGAAAGAATGAGATTCGACTATGTCACTAACTTGCCGTTCCAAATGATGGTATATTTCAACTGCTTTTTTACTCCATTCTGGGCAGCCAGCGTTACAGCAGTGACAGTAAATAAGGTGACGTCCTTTGCATACTGTCTCAATCACTAGATACCCTATATGGGAAGAATACACAAAGTGTTGAACGTAGCTTCGCTAATTTTGTACAGCATCATCCAGGGACCCCGTTTGTATTTCGCATTTACTGGAAACTTGATGGAACAAGTAAGGAAATAGAAAAAGTAACTTAACTTTAGGTTCCGGAACTGGTCGGATTTTGGCTTCTGACTATTCTTATACAAATACCGACAATTTTATTTCTGTTGTTGGATGAAGGAATGAAAGCATCTCCATTTGAGCGGGTGTTGCACTTGATAGAGTTTATATTTGTTGCACTTGAAGCTATTGTTGGATTTTTCGTCATCAAACTGATGGTTCGAAATCAAGCGATTAAGTTCCAAGTTTACATGCAAAGCAAGAAACTCGATAAATCAGCCTTACCAGAGAGAGTGTTGTAAATCATCAGGCAACTGAATTGAACCTAAATTTGCGACTGAAACGTCATTGCTGTTGGAGTGTATGAACAAAAAGCCTAATAAATGTCGGTTAGATTTTGGAAAGAATTTCGTTGGTAAATCCATCAAACCTCACGGATATATATGAATGCCTGGCCAGATTTTATACGGCGTTTATCCTCAGATACTATGGGCTCATGATTGTATCAAATGGCTTTCTCGTCCGGATCATATAACTGATTGGTAAACAAAACCATTGTGACACTAACAAACATATCTATGGCAAAAATACGAAAACTCGAGGGAGGCAAGACACCGTCACAAACTGGTGTCGTAGCGTAATCGAACAAGTAAATATGGCAAACGAGGTGGGAGAAACGAGCATATATTAAACACTCACGTTGTCAAGCGCCCTGTTTGCGAAGATATAAAGTGTCTGATGGTACGCCACGTGTCTACCTCATAGAAATTTGTTCATGCCCTTCAAAAAGGCAGGCGTTGGTTATTCCTTCAGGTAATTGCGCGACCTAGGCGAAGGACAAAATGTAAAATCACAAGTTGGTGTGAAACTGCTGCCTGAATTAAGGCTCAAGCATAAAAAATAATATCAGCTGTACACCGCAACGACGCTTTACTGCAGTGCGACCACCACCAGTCGCACGTTGGTTGGGTATACTTTGAGGACGCCCACCTCTACGCAGATTCCAACCCGCGTCGCGATTACGAGCCAAGATCGTTACCTCTAGGCTACGAGCAGTACTACGCACACAGATTATTATCATCACACATCTACGAATGCTTCATATACAAATAATAAGTTAAGCAATACACGACCAAAAGTCCTCTACGATGCGATGGTACCATGCATTCATACTTCTAATATGTATCCCTTGCCAGTAAAAATCTTCTAGCATCAATTTTCGAGACTGTGGCAACTGACAACTATGCATCTTGTTGACAGTCGCGTAGAATTCAGCAAGACCCGGCAAATCATTGATACACTAAGCGCTGCTAAAACGTACTTAATCCGAATAGAGGGCACAGTGCCTTCTTAGTTGTTCTTTGCACAAGTATCCACAAAACGCGAGGGCAAGACCAGGTATGTGTTCGTATGTGTAAAACGACATGCGTAGCGGTCGCCCTGTAAAAGCTGACAGAAACACGCAAAAGTGATCAAGTCTTGTAGGCTGAAATGTTTTAGACTCACATGTTATAAATTTCGCGCTAAAATTGCTAACCAGCTACGCAGTCTACTGTACATGGGCAGCCGGTTGTTAGAGGATGAACGATACCTGAATAGTTACTTTGAACTTTGATGCCTTATAAGATATCTACGCGTGGAACAGATGCTCGATTACTAGTTCGATTTAAATTGTTGCGAAGAAAAGGATCGTTAAATAGAAGTTGACTTAGTCAAATATATGTCTGGAACAGACTCTATTTTCAAGGACTAGAAGCGAGAAGCCGTAAATACTATCAATATGTCAACGTTTCGTACTTGTACTTCGCTGCGATTAACCCACAACTACTCTTACCTTGAGTAGTACGTAAGGAAGAGGGAGGAAGCTAATATATACACAAGTGCAATATATGAGGACGCAGCAGCAAAATACCCATACCTTGCAAAGAATACAATCTCACTACTAATTAGTCGTCGTGATCGGTAAAGGTGACATCAGCTAGGCTGCTTTCTTGAAGGGTTCACTGCCTTTATCTGCAAGTCCTTGACCACTCTACACTTTTCCAAGGCAAGAACAAAAGCGTTGCTATGGCGCGCTTTGAGTTATTTACTTGATGGTCACAGAGAAACACATGTTGGCCGCATCTATCCTTGCAGGGAAAACAAGAAATAGTAACAGCATAGGATGTGGCGCTCAGTGATTTTATTTCCTTTTGCTATGTAAGTAGCTTGGATTCTTAAATGATAAAATATGAGGCAGATACGTCTAGGCTCTATTCGGCAAGCGGTTGGTTTCGTCTAACCTGCCAAAACCGATGGAACGCATTAGCTACTGTTAGTATAGCTCACTATGTGGTCATCGCTACCTAACTCTCGCCTGCGCGCTTCGTAAATACACCCATATTGACACTATCGGACAACTGGAATAGTAAGTACTTACCAATAGTCGACGACCTGCAGGCGCTTGGTATGCTCATATCAGAGTCCAGTTTTCTTTGTTATTACAAACGATGGCGTTTGGGGACGCAGAATTATTCATTGTGTTATAAGTCCTGCAAGCTTAGGAAGGTGACTCCAATTCTATCCGTACCAAAGCTAACCTTGAGCGACATTCATATGCAGTTGTGAAAGTACCCGTTAGAATACGTAGATAGAATAACTGTAGCTAGTTCCCCATTTCCAGGATTCTACGCGCTGTCAAATCTTTGGCGATAATGTACTAATGCACACTACTACACTAGTTGATGGGCTATAAGCTGAAGTCATTTGCGTATGTGTTGTGAGTTTCTTTATCCTACCCACTCCCGCTGAGCCTCCCCCTCCAACCACGATCTCAATTATTTGGGATAATTTGACTACTTGGCAGTACAATAGCCCGCTGTTAGCTCTCCGGAACGATGTCCACCCGTCAGTGGTGACTCAGATGGCGTACCTCTGTTTCATCTTATTTTTTATTTTCTTTTTATTACGACACAACAGCCGAGATCTTTCTTACTTGCAGCCAACGTGTACACTAATAATTGATGCTGACTAATAATTTGCAATTCGAAAGTATAAAACACATATCGGGTGTGGAAGTACTTTGCCTTTTACTTAGAGTAAATCATATTGACTTGAGATTAGCAAAAATCAATGCAATGCGGTCAGCATTATCCAGAGCAACCATTTTCTGGTAGGTAGTAGCTTGTTTATTGCATCGGGATACTAAACAACATAACACTGAATGCCGGAGTTTATGACAATGTTGCTTTAGAATGCGAAAGGAGGAAAGCATTGACTAACGCCGTTTGTTGCCTAAGAAGCTCACAGCAATTTTCTGTGGACATTGACGCAAACTGACATGGTTGAATACATGAGGGCGACTTGTTTACCTGTCGCACAGGGAAGCCTTTCCAGGATGGCATATGAAACAAATGGCGTAGTCATCTGAATTGGAAGTGCTCCTTTAATCAGAAAGCACACTTACGGTCAAAATTAGTTGCGTATGACAAATAGCTGGAATCTACAGATGCCAGATTCTGATGTATACAGCAAAGTTAAATATGATCGTTCATTATTACCATGTCACAACCTCTCACAACGGAACTCACCTTGGGTGGTGCGACTGTATGTGTATCATTTATACCGCCTAAGCCTAACTGTGTAGCGCAATCTACTCTCTGGAACGCCACTCTTGCCAGATTGCCTAGTGGTAGAAAGCCAGACGAACTCAGTCATCCGTCTCGCAAGATTCCGATTTAGAAACAAGATGATATCCGTTTGCCACCACCTTTTGTGTTGCGATCAGTGTTTTTGGCTCTACGCTTGTGTTGATATTGCTAATTGTTCTCCTGCCTACGTCTAGGTCCCGTGAAAGTATCCCAGTTCACAAACTACCGCGACTATTTTATCAAACCAACTCCATCCTACATCGCCTGTTGCACAGTAGAACTGATAAGTGAAATATGTTACTGCTGAGGCCTCGCTTCTTTTCCAACTCCCAACCCACATTACTGACCTATGATTCCTAGATTAGATGATGATAGCTGCAATACCGGTGTAGTACTACCAGATGAAGGCACCATTCTAAGCCACTCGCTGGACTCCTATCGTCAACACGCCACATCTACTCTGGCGGCATTCAACGTCCGCACCCTGGCAAATAGGCCAACAGAATGCACTTGCATCCGCAATGGAAATCTTCCGTGATGACGTCTGTTTCTTTCCCGAACGACATTAGAGTGGCCAATAAAATAACAGCGATCGACTTGTCCTCTCGCCATTTGTTACATGCATCAGGCGATGCTAATTCCGCAGCCACATGTCAAACTGGTATAGGTATTTTTCTGGGTTCTAGGGCTGAAACATCGTTAGCTAACCGAACTCTCGTTAGCAGCCGTTTATGTGCAGTCTGTTTGACGGCACTAAGTAAATCTTGCGTGCGGAGTAGTACTAGTTACCGCTTGTTAATGGTTGCTGTTTATGTCTCACCAACTGCAGCCCCGATATTGTCAAGGACACCTCCCGGGAATTTAATAAGCTCTTTGCGGCGTCACTACTTCAGATACTGTAGTACAGCGCTGTACACTAAAACATTGGGGTATTACGGGTAAAAAGCAGATGTTTAATAAGTCCTTTAGGATTGCCAGAATCGGAATCACAAATGGTGAAAAGAAAACAATGATAAAATGAAAAGCCTTTTGTTTGACTCACCATAGTGTTCACACAGAAGCAGATAGAAAAGAGCCATCCTTGATTTCGTAGATTACTTCTGGTTGTGTAACGTTCGTCACCTTATATCGTCAGTCGAGATACACAGACTGTATCTTGTAATGTAGGTAGATCAGAGCAACTTCAAGGTATTTTCTAAACACTGGTCAAGCGTGGTTGGAAACAGCATAAGTTGGGAGGACGTTTCATGTCTGTAAGACATGAAGGGAGTAAAATTTTTGCCAACATTCTATCCGACTGTATTACATAGTCAAATTGATTTAGTGGCCCCCAAATTCATGTTGTGACTGAGTTGCATTGGGTGGTGGTAGACTCGGTTGTGGCTCCTCAAAATCTGGTGGGTCAATATTAGGTACTACGTAGGCACCGATGATGACCACTGTAGAACCTTAGAGTCCTCAACCTAAGTTGATATAGAAGGTGAAATAACCATTTGACGTACTTAGTGGTTCTGCGCTGTGGAATGTCGAGCGCTCCCTGATCTTGCTTGTGCTACTGATGTCAGGCCTGGATTGCGTGCTTCGCATGCTGCACGTATGTGTGGATCACGGTACACTTAGAAGAATTGAACTGGAACAGATTGTGTACTGAGCACTTATATGCCCCGTTTGTATCTCGTTAAAGTGCATCTTGATCTCCTTGGTGGGCACTGTTCTGTCACCTCTTAACATCATCAGTGGAAAGCAAGATATCCGGGCGAGGCAGACGCTGAAC